CGACAGTCCTTTGACTCTTGCTATCCCAAGTTTTACCCCAGATTCTAATGCTTCCATACATACCATTCCCTGGACTTTAGTAAGTCCATACCTTATTGATGTCCGTCTGTTCTCCTACGGGAGGCTCCTCACTGAAATTGCCGACCGTCAATGCAAGACCTGACCCTTCTCAGGTCCCCTTCCCTCTGTACTCAGGTCCCTGTTCGGGTGCCACCTGCGGAGACCAGCTCCACAAACCAGCTGAACCTGAGAGGAGTGGATGAGGAGATTAAGGGAAACACAGAAAGATATAAGAAAGACACGGAAACCAAAGCTGGGATCAGGAGGTTCACTGGCTGCTGGTGGCGGACAAGTGACGCAGTTTATTTTATGAACACAACTTTATGCACAGGCTCATAATGATGTCACTTCAGGACAGATCTCCTATCCGGTGTTGTCACTTCTGCTTCCGGTGATCTCACTTCCGATGTTATCACTTCCTGGTGTCCAGATCCAGTGATGTCACCCTGTCACTTCCGGGGTGACATCACAACCGGCCCTCCACAGCGCCTGGCAACAGGACTTTGAGATTCCAGTTCTTCAAGGGGAGAAACACATCTTTAGTCTCCACCTCCTGACCCCCAGCTATTTTTTCATGGAAAGTTGTCATGAGCATCATAATATTAATTGGTAGTTTCTGAGAAATATTTCACTGTTGGAGTTTTAATGTGTATGCCACCCATAACCTTGATTTGATCCTTACTGCAAGGAGTTTTATTCAGACTTATTTCCCTCAAACTCTCTCATTTTATTCTCAGTAGGGAATGAAAAACAGTGAGTCCAGCAGCTCCCGGCAGTGTGCCCCTGGGTTGGGTCTCTGGCAGAGTGCTTCAGGCTCCTGCAGTATGTGTACCTCCTGCTGTGCCTAGCTGCTGGTGTCATGGCCAGCAGCAGCCAGTGCCTAGCAGCTTACCCACTTCCCATGGCAGCTTTTTTACCATATTTTTGCAGTGAAACACCTCCGAATGAATAGCTTCCCCTAGCCCTGCAGAGGGTGGGTGTCCAGCTATGCCTGCAGGTGCAGCACCACACATCTCTGCCAACCACTTCTCTGGCATCTCTGTCATTGCCGAGGTCCAAGTCCTCACCACCAGTCTGGAACTCAGCACCAGCTGGAGAACTGCTTTTCCTTTGGACACTCATTGATTGTCTGCTCAGTGGCTGCTCCATCCATTATTTCTATATTCTTTAGTTCTCTTTATGTTTTAGCAGCCAATCCCTTGTTAATCCAGTCTCCTCTTATAAAAATTGTTACATTAAACTTTCCCTGTGTGGTTTCTGTCTGCTGCATAGACCTTGATACACATATTAAGTGAAAAATCCCTAAACAATCAAGCAAAATGCATAAGAAATTATGCAGTATATTACCTTTTTTTTGTAGATAATTATTTTTTATTGAAGGGTAGTTGACACAGTATTACATTAGTTTCAGGTGTACAACACAGTGATTCAACATTTATATACATGATAATTCTAGGTACCAGCTATCACCATACCAAGTTGTTACAATATTTTGACTATATTCCTTATGCTATACATTACATCCCGGTTACTTATTTATTTTACAATTGGAAGTGTGTACTTTTTTTTTT